ACTTCAAGCATTCCCTCCATTGCCTCCACGCTCGATGCATGATCCTCCATACACATCCAATGAAACCCTAGCTCATGTGCAATTGGGCTCCACACACTTCTCTCCTCCCGATCCACGAGGTCAAGCAGATCTTAATATGAGAGTTGACCAGCTAGCTCAGAGGATGAACGACCAAACCAATCTGATGAGGCAGCTCCTCCACTAAATGGACGCGATTCAACAAGAATCGGCAAGCCACACACAAAGCAACGTGCGAGAAAGACTCGGCCCACGACTTGACGTTTGCGCTCGCCTGGGCCCGCAGGGAAATGTTCATGAAAGGCTAGGTTCCTAGGGAGGTCAAACTGACAATCGCCACAATCAGGATCATGAATAGAGGTGCTCCGTTACCCGCTCGCAGAGAAATATTCACGAAAGGCTAGGCCCCCAAGGAGGTCAACTTGGTAACCCGTACAATGAGGACCGTGAAGAAAGGCACTCCACTGACCGCTCTCGAAGAACCAATTCTCATTGCCAAGTTACAGAAAATCCCTCGCAAGCACGGTCCACCAACACGCCGCCTAGGCAGCGCATCCGAGAAGATCAACCCTTGCAAACCAACGAGGAAGTTACTCGGTCTCACCCAAATCGTAAAGGTCATCAACGTGACCGACTAGCCATGTGTGCGAAAGACGTTGAGAAGCTTGTGAATAACCGACTTCGAGACTTAAAGATTGGTGGAAATTTCGAAGATGCACTACGTGTTGAGGTAGACCGAGCAAACTCATCACCTTTCACCGTCGAAATTGAGCAGGCTGCTCCCCCGAAACGATTCTCAACGCCCTCTTTTACATGCTTCAAAGGCGATTCCGATCTTGAAAACCATCTGAAGTATTTTAAGAGCCTTATGATCCTCTACAAAGCTGAAGACGCGCTAATGTGCAAGGTGTTTGCAATGACTTTGCAAGGAGCAGCTCAGAACTGGTTCCACACCCTGCCATGCAGGTCGATCAGCAGCTTCAAGGAGCTTGCTTATGTCTTCACTAAAGAATACACTTCTTATCGGTCAATCAAGAAGAATCCTGACCATCTGTTCAACCTGCACAAGAAGTCCAATGAATCCCTGCGAGACTACATCAAGAGGTTCAAAGCGGAGAGGGCAAACATTGTAGGATGTGATGACCAAATTGCGTCATCTGCCTTCAAGAGGGGGTTGCCAACTGAATGTGAGTTGTATCGCGAGCTGACCATTTATCCTCGCCAAACACTGGTATAAGTCTTCGCTATAGCAGAGCGCTATGCATTATGGGACGATGACCGGATCACCACGAAGAAGGCTGATCAAGTAGCTGAGCAGGTAAGCCAAGAGAACGACAAGCGCAGATCACAGCCTCAGGAAGGTGCTTCAGCAGCGGAGAGCTACACCAAGTTCACTATCCCGATACACCAGATCCTGACCCAAGTAAAAGACATGCCTTGGTTGAAGAAACCATCGCCTTTAAAGGGAAACTCAACAAAGAAGGATACCAGTAGATACTGCACATTCCATGAAGGGCATGGTCATTACACAAACGACTGCTTCGCCTGGAAAAGGCACCTTGAAGATCTCGACCATTGCACGGAATTTATAGTAAGGAGGGCTATCGAGGGCTATCCAGCAAATCAAGGATTGTGATGCAGCTAACGATGAACCTCCACGAAAAAGGTCATATGGATCAACACGATCCTAGCTGACTCCAAAAGCCCAGACTGACCACCAGGGGGCAAAAGAGAAAGATCTAGCAGGTGAATTCCGTCTCCTAAGCCATTACTAGCTATCAAGTTGTGGAAGACGAACCTTTCATCATCTTTCAATGGAAGGAAGTTCTATGACAATGAAATACCCATCACCTCCAGGGGTACTATCCATGAAGCTCTTCACTTATCAGCTCGGCTCTAAGCAGGCGACCAAGCTTTCCTCACCTCCATTGAAGACAAGTTACTTTTGATGTTACTCATGCACTCATCTTTTTTGTTCGATAAGGCAATGTAGTCACACAGACATCAATACAAGTTCAAGTTTTTCTTTCCAATGAAGTATTCACAAAAGCAATCGACACGTTTGTGGACGTAGGCCAAACAGGCCACTCTCAACGACATGTCTCTGGACGTAGGACAAACGGGCCACTCTCATCAACACGTCTCCAAACGTAGGCCAAACGGGCCACTATCATCGACACGTCTTCGGACGTAGGCCAAACGGGTCACACACATCGACACGTCTCTAGACGTATACCAAACGGGCCACTATCATCAACACGTCTCTGGACGTAAGCCAAACGGGTCACACCATCATCGACACATCTCCGGACGTAGGGCATACAGGCCACTCTCATCTACATGTCTTCGGACGTAGGCTAAACATGCCACAGCCCAGCAGGCAGAACACTCCTCCTGTCTAGCAGGCAGATAATCAGGATCAGGACCATTCTGCTTTCATCCCTCAACATTCTCGGCAGAGGGCAGACCATCGTCTTTTTCTCAATACTCGCTCAGCAGCAACTAGCGGCCACTCTCGCTCTAACCTTCTTCGACTGCCAGTCACGATGTCACCCAGCTGGTCCTTGCCTCGAAAAAGAGAAGACGAAGAAAAATATACGTGCTCGACTTACCTTGGGATGCACGGCAACTCCTCTCTTCGACAAGCAGTACAAAATTCTCCAAGATCTTTCTCAAGCTAGAAAGTAGAGAAGTTAAGTTTGCAATGTAAGAAAGAGTGAAGAGAAGCCCTGTATTTGTACACGTTGGACAACTCAGGTCAAGAAGGAATCACAAGCTCATTCCTATTGGGAATCTAACTCCAAGAACAGTCAGAAGCCTACGCTAATTAGTAATCCGATCTACAAAAAAGCCCAGACACAGTTGAAGAGCCCGAAAAAATAATTTCATCTCCTACATGCCACACAAGCGCCATGCAGAAGCTGAGGGGCATTTGTGGGAGCAAATATTTCCGTCTCCAATCAGGGCACGCAACGTGGAAAAGAAGATTATCTCTTAAATTAATTAATTGAACCAGTTTATCTAGCCAATTAATTAATTGAGATAAATATCTTAATTAATGGGATATTATCTTTATTTAATGAGATAATACCATTAATTAGATATTATCTTCAATAAAGAGAAGATAATATCATTAAATCGGATATTATCTAAGTTCGACTTGATCTCTACGAAACCCCAGCCCCGAGGCTCCTATAAATAGACTACTTCATTCATCATTCAAGGTACATCTAAACCTACTCCTAATACCGGAGAAAAATACCCGAAGCTTTCTCTTTCTCCCTCTCCACTCTCCATATTTTCTCCACACGGCTCCAGCCACCACACACGGCTCCGGCCGCCCGGTTTACACCTCACATAAACACTACTCTGTACCCTTTGCTTAGCTATTGTTTTCCTACAAACACTCTAACTAACCTAGGCATCGGAGGGCCTTTGGCCAACACCCCCCGAGTGTGGTCTATTTACTCCAATATGTTTTACAGAAATCGAGGAAGAGAGAGAAGGAAGATCAAAGGTTGAAGGATCTAGAAGCGAATATTCTCCTGTGAGATTATTTGCACAAACATTAATGTCGTCGTCGCCACCTAATCTTCTACTGCCGCCGCCATCTGTCACCATGTTAGATGTCACTGAATCTTCTTCTTCTACTCCTATTGTGATGGTTCATACCGAATCGTCCACCAATCTACCTATGAGATTCAAATTGAATAGATCCAACTATGAGATATGGGCTTTGATGATCAAACTCTGTGCTACTACACAAGGAAAATTGGGTTACCTGACTGGCGACAATGATGCCCTTGATTCCCAAGACCCAAAATTTGGGAAGTGGAAAATTGTCGATGCTGTTGTTAAAAGTTGGATGCTACGAACTATGGAACTCAGTTTATTGAATATGTTTCATACTCTACCTACTGCTAAGGAAATTTGGGATGCTGTTAATCAGATGTTTTATGATGGCTCTGACATATCCCAACTCTATGAACTGTGCTGCCATGCTACCCATCTCAAGCAAGAGGGTCGTCCTGTCTCTATCTATTTTGCCGAACTTAAGGCAATCTGGCTTGAATTGGACAAGAGACGTCCTTTTCAAATGAAGTGTGCTGATGATATGAAGACTTTTCAGGTTGCTGGCAGATCGTGTGTATGATTTTTTGGCTGGCCTTGACGATACTTATGACAAGGTCCACAGTGATATTCTACAGAGTGATAAAGTTCCAAGTATCGAAAATATATTTTTTATGGTCTGTCGAGAAGCTCAAAGCCAGATTACTATGCTTGGATCCAGCACCAAGATTGGGGAACCTGCTGTTGTGTTTGCTTTTAAAAACACTGCTTTGGTTTCTCGGCCTACAGGGTCTGGCTCTTCTGTTGTTCTGCCTCATTGCCTGACTTCTGCAGAAAAAGACAAACTAAAGTGTGATCATGTGGTGAAAATAGACATACTATTGACACCTACTGGGCATTGCATGAGGTACCAGACTGGGAGAAGGAGCAGAGACATTTAAAAAGGAACAACTGGATAGCAAAGCCCATGTGGTTGTTGCCTTCACTTCTGTGGCTGACAAAGCCACTGGGCCCGGCCACCTTACTATTACGCCTCCTCTGACCTTGACCGCGGTCTCAAGCACTTCAACACCTCCGCCTCCAGGTAACTTTGGCAAGGTTTTCCATGCCCATGATACACGCGATATAGGTTGGATTATTGATTCAGAAGCTACTGACCATATGACGTATAATTCTGTTTTATTCTCTACTACTCTTCCGCCTCATCGTGATCATGTTTTGACTGCTAATAATGTTGCTGCTTCTGTCATGAGGGCAGATTCTATACTCTTGACACTTGCTTTACCATTAAACAAAGTGTTACTGGTTCCATCTTTGTCTAGTAATTTATTATCTGTGCCGCAAGTTACTGAGCAGTTAAACTGCGTTGAACGACAAAACCGGACCACTTTGGATAATTTTTTCGTCAAAACCGGACCAAACCGTGCCCACCGCTACCCAATATTGCTTCTATAAAGAAAAATAAAATAAAATAAATTCGCGGGTACATTGAACGACATGAATTAACTTCACGTAACGACCCGCCGTTTCACACAGCGAGCGGTTGTTTTCACTTTTCAGTGTGTGCTAGCTTGCTGTGAGTTTCCCCGACGTATCTCTCTCTCTCTCTCTCTCTCTCTCTCTCTCTCTCTCGTTAATGTTTTAGACCTTTTGCTTCAATTGAAATAAATCAAAATTTCTGTTTCGAATTTTGCTACGAAAACACTTGAGATTTGTAGCACCAAAAAGGAAATAAAAAAACGCTTGGGATTTTGTTTTTGAGAAAAAGAAAGGGAGGAAATGGGCGATAGAGACCGCGATTGGGATTGGCATCTGAGAACCTTATCGAGCAGTGCCAGAGACTCCAACGTCGCCAATGATCCTGCTTACGATTCTTCTCTTCTCCAATCCGTGAGTCCTCTCTCTCTCTCTCTCTCTCTCTCTCTCTCTCTCTATCTCATCATTTTCCTAACTCTCTGTTTGTTTCTTGAGAAAAAGGGGAAGGAAAATCAAAAGCTGAGCTTAATTATGAACCGAACATACACTAAGAGGCTTCCTTTTTTCTTTTTTTTTCTTTTTTTTCCCATTTATCTGATTTAAAATAAAATATTGTTTTTTTGGTTGAATTAATGTTGATTAGGTGAAGAAGCTATATGAATTGTGTAAAGCTGAGAATTCAGAGGATTTGGTGGCTAGAGTTTATCCGCAGATTAACAAGCTCTTTCAACGCTCAGTGGCTTCGCTGTCTCAATCTCGAACCTCTATTGGCCTTCTATTGCTGGTTCGTTTTATCCTTTCCATTGTTTTTAATTTTTTTACTCAGCCCTGTGTTGTTACTGTTTCATTTTGTCTTATTTCTGAGAAAAGACTAGGAAATGAAACCCAAAAAAAAAAAAAAAAAAAAGTTGATTAATGTCAAGTAGTGTTTTTAGAATTTAGACGGTACAGAAAATGGTATATGGGATGCTTACAGAAAGCACCAGAAATAGGTATATGTGATGCTTAAGGTTTCATATCCATTTGAGTATTTGACTTTTCCATGCTGAAACCTCAGGGGCGTTCGTGTAAACCTGAGGGGGTTTTGTGAAAAAGCCAAAAACCAATGGATTGTTGGTGTAAATAACTTGTGATTCATTTTGACAATAAATTGGAAGTGCTTTCTACTGGGTTCCCTAAGGTCTGTGCTTTCCCTTGTAAGATAACAAATAAATGCTTGTTCACTAGGGCTTGCACTTACGTAAGCAATAAGATGAAGGGTTTTCTGGAGAAGTTTCACTAATCTATGGGAAAACGATAAGAATGTAAAAGAGAATCTCTTCTTTCAGTGTCTAGTAGATGTTGATTTTCAGAAGTCCTTTTGTTTTCTTTTTTCATTGACCACGGAAAGAATAATTTAACTCTTATTTTCTGTTACGGTATAATAACTATTACAGTTTTCGTGTCATCTTTTTTATTGGTCTGAGAACATTTTATTGACAAAGCCACAACAGTGGATATGGTAAAGAGTCATATCCACCATCTCCGTCTTTTTTTTATTTTTGGTGTTACCTTTTTCTTTCCAATGTTGAGGTTGGCGTGTATGATAAATTTTCTTTTTGGAAGATGCCTTGCTCAAACTTTTATTACCCTGATTTTTCTGCCAGGCCATTCTTCAATTTTACCTTGATTTTGGAGAGAGAGTTCTACATGATGCTGATCCCAGTCTCAGGACATTCTTCCGTTCATGCTTGAGCCGGTAAATGATCTACACCATTTCAGATTATTTTTTAGGCTGCTTAAAAGTCTATGATATCGAGTGAAATTGGGTTTCTCCTTTATCTATGTTGACATCTACCTAGTAATTAGTTGTATGATATGGAAGTTGCTCTTTCTTAGTCAGTTGCTCCATTATAATCATTTGTTTGGTTTTTACTACAAGAAAAGAAAAAAAAAATTGTGGCAAGATTAACCTGCAAACTTCTAGAAATTTTGTAAGATAAAATGGAAGAAAGGAAGATTTTTATTTGTTACTTCAGTGTTTTGAAACTTCCCCAGTATGAAACCTAAGTTCCATTGGTCTATTTCAAGCTCCAATACTTGGGTCGATTGATGCAGGAGATGAAATGAAGAATGACATACTTTGTGCACCTTGTCCTCCTTTACAAAACCTTGATTTGTTCTTTGAATATGTCAGTTCTGATGATGAACATGTTCTTAACTCTATACTTGTCCATGGACTCGTGTCAGGGTCTGTGTCTGTTAAATGTTAAATATGATGTCATATCAAGGACAGAGTCAACAACAAGCATATTGACATGCAAAGTACTCTCTAGATTCTTTTGTACTTTAAAGAGAAAGTTATAAATGCTAAAACCTCAAAAAATGCACTAACTGAAATATCATCTGCCTTACTTTCCATTTGGTGTTGAAAAAGTTATAAATGCTAAAACCTCAAAAAATGCACTAACTGAAATATCATCTGCCTTACTTTCCATTTGGTGTTGAAATGAGCATTTCTTTTCTTGCTTATATTCTTACGTAAATTTTCCATTTCCCTTGTATGAAATCTAACTACAAATATGATGGCCATCACACTTCAAATTTTCTAATCTGGTTGCAGTGAGTTTGCAGATCCTGTTGTTGCAGAAGCAACCGTTGACTTTCTGAATGCCAACAAGAAAAAACTTTTAACTTCTTTCCC